AGATTAATGACCTGTAAGAATACTCACTTCTTATAATTTGAAATTAACATTCTTAGTTAATGTAATACAGAATAAGTATTAAAATAATCTGCCTCTGGATTTGACACAAGGGTGTCCTAAAGGACGGGGTATCTGTCCTCTTCAAATTGTGTTTCTTTTGATGTGTAGCATTTCCAGCACAATTAATCACTATGTAGCTGCTTTAAAAAGGTAGCTTTGATTTTTCTGAGCTTCCTGCAACTAGTAGATTTTGGCAGAATTGGCACCTGCTGAGTGAGTCCTGTTTCATTATGAGCCACTTGTAAAGGTATCAAAGCATTGCTGGGGAAATGAAGGTCCAAGAATGATGTGAGCAGCTGAGTTGGGAGGACAGTGAGGCTGAATTCTGTTTCCATTTGGTTTCTATGTCTAAAAAACTCTGGATGTCTGAGACTTTAAAGTGGCTTAACTTTTTTTTTTTTTTTTTGAGCTTTGAGCACACACTTACATGTTTGAAGTCTGAGAGTCACCGGTATGTCATGCTTGTGGAATCAAGGGGCTTACTCATGCCTAACTATTCTGTTGAATCTGTAGCTGTTTGAAGAAGTAAACAACAGCTTTGAAAAGAAGCGTAAATCAACAGAGAAGTTGAATGCTGTTCAGAAGGTCTTGACTGGTGTGCCTGTTGTTCAGATAGTCAAAATAGTGGTTTTAAATCTCAATTACAGAAGCCTTATTAGGGGTCTCAGTGGGCTTTTATTCCGTCTGAATAAAAAGCCTTTGCTTTTGCAGCATCTGTGGGACAGTAATAGTTTTGTAATTGCAGCTGTTTAGGTACCACCTCAGTGGTCTGAAAACATCCTGTGGTAGCACATCATGTTTGAGTTTGTTTCATCTATTGAATTCTAGGTTGTGACTATCCCCTGTGAATCCACAAAAGGCTCCTGTTTCTTCTTTTCTTCACATGGTATTACCTGAACATCACTGCCTCGTTTGCTGCTTGCTAGGAGTGAATTCAGTACTAGTGGTACCTGTCCTCAGGAGAAGCTTTTCAGCTGTGGAAAATGATTTCTCATGCTCCTGGTGTTGGAGCCGGTTTGGCTGCCTTTGAGACCTATTTCAAGATATATTTCAACTTCTTGCTGTTATGGCTGTAGTTGTGGTGCTCTGTCTTGGCAGAGGGTTGATCTAGGTTAGGAGTATGATAACTCTCGTTCATTAACAGTAATTCTGTATTTTATATCTAAACTAGTTAGGGTTCTCCAATGGTATAACAACAAGAGCTAATGAACACCATAAATCCCTCCATTGTTTTTGCAGGACTGTAAGGAGTGGGGGTCTTCAGCTGAAATGATGGGAGGTCTGGGAATAACACTATGTTTTGTATTTCGTACTCTAGAGTTAAAAAGTCTTTAATGCAGGGGTGCGCTTTTCCTGTGTGCTCACATGAAGCTTGTCATAACTGATTCTTAAAATCTCTTGAGACTCTGAGTCCTACCCAGATGTCTGTAATAATATTTGTGTGATTTCTGAATGTAAATGTGATTGTGTTTCTTTTCAGCTGCGGAACAACCTGGCTTGAGCAAGACCCACCTTTGAAGGAGGTGGGAGTACCCAGACTTTTCTCTTAAACTGCTTTCTTCCATTGAATTCAAACGCACAAACAAGGTACCTTCTTCTTAATAGAAAAAGCATCTGTGTTCTCCAAGTGCTTCCTGTACTTGTGCTTGTTTTCTAAATATATGTGTGCTGGTATATATATGTGTTTTCTAAATATACCCTTCCTTCCTTTGGGAAGCGGATTAGAATGAGTCGAGTTTGGATTTTGGCGTGTTTGTATATGAAGTGTTAGGAAGCAAGATGAAAGGTCATTTAAGATCTGGATGAAGTGAAACTTGTGGTAATTGTTCCTTTTCTTCTTTACTTGGCATTGTTTACAAGTCTTCTTTATGGTGTTTTTGTCATCCTTTTGAAGGTAGCTGTAGAGGCCACAATAGCAAAAGGGAAGGGCCGTAACCATATGTTCCCACACAGGCTCTGAATAATACGTATGTTAAATATTGCCTTAACACTGAATTATGCCGATGATAATAAGATACAGGACTTCAGCAAAACTGCAGCAAAGATGGAAACTTGCTCTCTTTTTTGTTGCAGCATGGATTTGGCTGGGTTACAGTTTCCTGTGAGAAATAATCCTAAGCTGACTGGAGGAGAAGGGCAGATCAGAGTTTGAACTGTTCCCTGTTTCTTCAGCTTTTGTCAGACTGCTGGTCAGACAGGAGTTCTTGGAGTACAGTCTGAGTGTTATGGATAAGTGGGATGTAAGAAATGCTTTTTTATCAAAGTTTTGGCTAGTCTGCTCTGAACACCAAGTAGTGTTCTACTCCCACCTCCCTGCAGTCAGCCAGAATAGATGATAAAATGGGTGGGAAAGTTGGTTTGGTGGAAGCAGAGGATTCAGTGCTTCAGGCCATATTGTAAAATGACCTTAAAATGGCAACAGTTAGACATTCATCTTGGACTTGATGTGTTCCTAGGCCATTTCCCTGCAAAGCAGCTCATCCAGTCTCTGAGCTTTCTGTCAGGGTGAGCTTCCTCAGAGCCCACAGTGTCCTTGTCACCAAAGATAGTCCTGCAGTATGCAAAAGCACCTCAGTGTTGCCGGGATGGTTGAAGCACACTCTCAGTGTCATCAGAACCTCTTTGGGGTATGGTCACAGATGGTCACAGAAACAAGCATTTATTTGAAAGCTTCAAAAACCTCTAAAGCGTTTGGCTGGGTTAAAGGCATTTTCTTGTCATACCAGCTCTAACTTAAGTTTGTTATAACACAGTAAATAACAAGAATAAAGTTGTGATACCTTTAAAGGAAAAGCTGTGTTGATGAAAGTGAGCTACACGATAATGTGAAGTAGCAGACCAGAAGGGTAATAAGAATCTAACATAGCAAACATTTCATGCCTGTCTGGTAACAAATTTGGTCAAGACTAGTTTCAAAACATCAGCTTTTCAGTGACTTGGTTTCTGTATACATGACCAGTGAACTTCCTGATTTCAGGGAAGCAGTTCTCTGTAATTTAGGAATTGAGTCAGACTAAAGGGAATTGAAATAATGCCGTGAGTTACTAAACACCAGATGGTAAATATCATAGCCAAGTGGTAGAGTGCAGGGGAGGGTTGTGAAGAAATATGTCAGCTGTGCTAAGATGCAGGATTCATCTCCTGTCTTTTTGCTAAGTTTTAGTCTGTTACAAGCTCTGAAACCATGTAATAGTTGAAATGGAATAGAACCTGTCTACATATGACTTGTTGACTTGCAGAAGGTCAGGTCATTAAAATGACTTGTTTGACACCTTCTGGAAATCAAGCACCACTTTCAAGCAGACCAGCTCTACCTCTGAGCAGCTTCATATGCGTCATTTCAATCCCAATTCTGAATAACTTCTAAAGCAGGCTGAATTGAAATCAGGGAGAGCTGGAACTTGCTGTCAAAGGCAAGCCTTTTCTTTATGTTAAAATTCAAAACTGTATGTATGTCAGTTTGAGTTAAAAAGAAGCTGTTGCTTCAGAAGCTGGTAAAATGTATGCTTTCATATTTCTTACTGTATTTAAGAACTCACATATGTCATCCATCATGATGATTTCTTAACACATTCTGCTTAAGACTTGAAAATGAGGATTTACTATTGTCTTGAGGCTTTAAGTGAACATGTTTAAGTATTTCAGTTAAAGGGCTTCAAAAAAGCACTTGTCTTAAATTTTTAGTTCTAAGTGACAGTCATAATAGCCTTTACTGAGAAATACTGGCAAGGAAAATACAATGAAGCAAAGAAAGAATATTTCATATATTGGTAGGCTGTTGTGTAACATTTTCTGTTTCTGAACTTTTCCTGTGTGTTAAGAGTGCTTTAGAAACAGCGGAAGGCAGAAAAACTTCTGTTTACAAAGGCTCTCTGTTAGAGGGGAATTGCTGGAATACTTTTTGTCGTCGTTTTTAGGGCTTGCCCTTATTTCATTACCAGTGTTCATAATGACACTATTTCTAGGTTTTTTTCTGTAGTACAGGATCTTTAATTGCAAGTTTTCTTAGAAATCCTGGCTGTAAAATGTCTCAGCAGTGCTTTGCTACTGCCTTAAAGACTGTGAGCCATGATTTTTAACTGTTAAGGCTGTGACTGGTGTTTTGAAGTGCTTATGTGACTATGGGGTGGAATTGTTTAGCCTTTTTGGAGATAGGTTAGCTGTATGAAGCAACTTCAAGCAGAGAAAGTGTATGGCAATGTTATTATTTAGGCCTTCCATATGAATATGTGGGTGTTCTTTCTTTTCCTGCCCTATTATCTTGCATCAGTGAATTGTTATCTCTGACTTAGCTCTTGTAATATCTGCAGCTAGTGGTGCAGGAAAAAAATACCTAAATGCTATAACCACTGCTTGTTTTGGAGCATAAGTTATCTACTTATCTGTGGTTTAGAAAGGCACATCATGTTTATATGAGAGAGTTTTTTCTGGCCTTTTGGCTGCATAAACTGACCTAGATTACTCCTTTGACCTGTTTGCTCCTGTGGTTGCTTTATTTCACCAGGTTGTTTGAAACTTCCCCACACCTTCCTCCTGTTTTGGAAGTTCATTTTCTTAAGCTATCTTAAAAAACCCCATCTACTTGTAAACCAGTAGAATAACTCTAAGAATAACAGCCTTGTGAGGGCTGTAAATCTTGTCTTACAGCAGGGCACGTGTTATGTTGTGGGTAGCTGATGGTGGTTGTTGACAAAGTTATTCCCATGCTTTGCCTTACTGTGCTATGAGAGGAGGATTCAGTGTAGTTATTTTGTCTATTTTTACATTTGTTTATCAAACTTCCCCTGAGCTGTTAATTAGAGCCTAAATTGTCTTTTTTTCCTCTGGTATGGCAGCCTGTGATGAAGACAAATAGAGAAACTTTTGGATAGCTTAAGAACATAAATAGAGAAGAGCATGTTCATTTTCTCCTGGAGTAATTGTGTGTTAAAGGCACCTTTATGTTCTGCCACACAGCAATGGTCAGCAGTCAGCCTCTCCCCATAGCAGACAGTGGGAAAAGGAAAAAGAAAAAAAGAACCAGAGCTACAGATCACGTCCCTGGGAAGTTTGAAGGTTGGTGACAACTTCTAAGCTTTTAATTTTAATGGTCTGTTTTCCCTCTGCTGTTCACAGTTTTCTTTGCTAAACATTGCTTTTTGGTAAATATTATAAGTTGACATTTGTGTTTTTCTTTATCCCCCATGTTTTGGTCTTCATTCTGTGAAGCATTGTAGGTAAAACACAGTTCAGTGTGGTAAAACTTCTTAGCGTGCAAGAAGCATTGTACATTGCAAATCAAGGTGGTAGCAGTCTTTTAGGTTTAAGCCCTTGAATTTGAATACTTAGTAGGCATTTTCTGATCAAGGAGTGAAATATTTTCAACCTGAAAAAACTGGGTCTGAGTTTTACGTAAACAGAGGGAAGGTGGATGAGGTCCTAGCAATTGCTGAGGTTCAAAATATTTCTTGTATGAACAGATTTGTAATTTTGATGCTGGAATGAAGTCTCCTTTAAATCTTTCTGGAATTTGAAGGCGGTGGGGGAGGGGGGGGGTGAAGTGAAAAATGAGGCATAATTAAGGCTGGCACATCTACTTTAATACTGTATAAATCTATTTTCTGTCTTCATTACCAAGGCAATTTTTTCAGTTGCTGTCATATGAGGGGTGCTCATCAGATAAATAGCTTGTCTTGGTGTTACTCAGTGAAATGCTGTGGCTAATGTGTCCTTTCTGTTGGATTTCTTTGGCAGACTTGTACAAGCTGACTGCTGAGCTGCTTGGTGAGGGAGCATATGCCAAAGTTCAGGGTGCTGTCAGCCTCCAAACAGGGAAAGAATATGCAGTGAAAGTAAGTATGGAATAAAAGCAGCATCACTTCTGTGGGTAATATATCTTCTTCCTCCTAGTATCTCAGTGAAAACCTGTAATAGAGTGGGTAATAGCAAAACTTTTTAGAACATTTTGATGCTTTCAATGAGCCCGCTTTATAACATTGAGATTCTGTCATCTTAAGTATGGTGCCTCCAGAGTGAGCTGGTAATACCAGCCACAGACTGAATTCACAAACAGCAAATGACTGTGTGATGGTTGGATCTCAGGACAAGTTTTCCTCTCATGTCCTGATTTGACTGTAGTCCAACCAGTTTTTCTCTCTATGAAAGATGGGGGAGAGCCATTATCTAGCATGGCCTACCAAATAATGCAAGCTTTTGAGAATGCTGCTCTGAATTCGGAGAGCATCAGTTACTGCCATTAGTTAATATAAAGCTGTCTCATTATTTTTTTGATAGAGGTGAATCTTCATTAATACCACTTTATTAAGTGTTAGTGCTCATCTACAGATTGGTGGTTGTTCTAAGTCCCCCATTTAATAACAAACACATATAGGAAAGCTTTATGCTTGATTCTTTTCCAGAACCATGGGCACAAATTTTAAGCCCCATTAAAAATCCAGTCCTGTGGATGCTATGATTTTGTGTGTACTTTGTAGAATTGTTGAAGTTGGAATAAATAAACAAACCACTACGTTATGAATTAGACAGAATCAGGTACCAAGTCATCTGTAGTACTGGTGAATGGTTGCCTCTTCCATACCGCAAAACTCTGGATATAAAGATGAGAAACCAGTACTGGGTACAGATGGTGCTAGTATTTGTGGTAATGTCATGAGCTTTCAGGTCACGTAGCTATTGTTCAGCCTCTCTGAAAAGCCCTTGTAGTCTTTCAACCTGAGGAGTGTGTGAAGGAAGGTGACTTCTGATGGCTGTACAGAAGGGCTCTGAGATTGAATGTATGTTTTCTTCAGCACATTAGGTCCTACTGTTGGGTCTCCACTCTGAACCAAACTCATTTTGTGGTGAATTTAGTACTTCTTACTTAAGTGCCTATAATGACAAATCTCTTCTTTTTGACAGTTCAGTGTCTGATATGACTTAAATCTGTTTCTGTTAGAACTCTAAAGGATATTCTTTTCTGCACATTGCAGATTTAAAGTGATGCAAGAGAAAACTTGTAACTGGTCAGTGGCTGTGTAACATGTGAATTTAGTTCCTTACTTCTCTTCCTGTCTTCATTTCTCTCATCCCTTGAATGCCTTCCAGAGCTCTGCTGACACTGTAAATAAATGACAGATGAGAAATAAAACGAAGGTGGAGTGTTTTTTCTCTGGTGGGCATGCCTGAGATTCAAGCCTTGCATCAGTTGTCTAATTCCACAGCCACGTGCAGAGTTTCTGCAGTGAATTTTCAATTCTGAGCTCTAACTCTTTCCACAGATCATTGAAAAAGATGCTGGGCATAGTCGGAGTCGGGTCTTCCGTGAAATAGAAACGCTGTACCAGTGCCAGGGGAACAAGTAAGTATAGAGCCTTGTGTGGTTTTTTATGTTTGAAGTTTCTTGAATATTTTTGCAAACTTTTAAGCCTCTTATGCATGACTGGGGTAGTTGCTTTGCAGTAGTCTCCTCAAAACCAGTTGAAATCTAGGCTTGACCTGTTCAAAATAAGAATTTCCCCTTCACTTACCTGTGAAATTTAGGGAAATATTTATAAATTAGAAGTCACATAAATCAGACAGCAACCAGGTCAGTGCAGCCTGAATGTGCTTCAGTGATGCATGGCTTTTGGCCAAATGAGGAATTAACATTTTGATGCTCTCCCCAGGTCAGTAAAAGCTGACCTGATACCAGCTGCTGTTGAAAGGAACAGTCTTGCCATTCATTTCCCTAATGTGTGGTTTGCCTCTTTGTGTCAGCCTTCCTGCTTTTGCGCTGGAACTCTTAGATCAGCCAAAAGCTAATTTAGCTTTCATTTGGATGTGTGCTGACTTTACATAGCCACAGGATGAAGCAACTTTAAATCTGGCACAGAGGAGGGAAAGGCTGCACAGCCAGTGGCAGCCCTGGCTCTGTGATGAGTTTCAGCCAATTCTGAAACTACTCCTTTAGATGTCTCTGTTAATCTAGAATGTGTACAGCAGCTGTTATCTGTACTCAGTTGTGCAGTTTATATTGAGCCTTTTTTAGACGAATTTTAGTACAACACCCGAAGATAATTTAAAACCAAACTCATGGGCTTAAGTTGTGGTATAGAGAAGCAGATTATATCTTTGTCCTGTTTGTGGTTAAGAGCATGTGGTCACCCACTTACATAACTGATGGAAAAGCTCTAGCTTTTATGACTACATACAGAATTTGGATTGTGTGTGTGCTATAAGTATAGAAGAATCTTTCTTACACTTTTGTCGTTCTCAAAGCAACATGGGGTGTTTCTGTTATGCTGCAAAGGCTGTACACTAGCTAAACAGGAGTGAGTTAGCCTACAAATCATAACTACAGTGCTGGATTTAATATCATGCTGACAGATGCCTGTCTCCTTTGAGCCCTGTGTGTTTTGCCTTGTGATTTCCAGAGAAAAGGAGTGCCAGTTTAATTATTTTTATGTTCTTGCCTTCAGCACAAATGCAATATTCTAAATTATTAAATACAACCTATTGCGAGTTATTTTCCTGTCAATTGAGCAGTAGCAGAACTCTCTCACAACCATGATTTTGGTGTTTGGCCTTCTTCCCCTGCTTCAGTTTCAGTGTGAGTCGGAAATGTGGTTTTAAAGCCATAGGCAACTTGTTTAATTTGAACTTTTACTTTTGGTTACTTCTGGCACTTCCTAATTATGCATGCTGAAACTATTGCTCTGTTTACAGTCTGTACCTGTTTCTTCCATTTCCCTTCTGTGTTTTTTTTGTCTTTTAAAGGAACATTTTGGAGTTAATAGAATTTTTTGAAGATGACACAAGATACTACCTTGTCTTCGAGAAGCTGCGAGGAGGTACTGTGCAGTAACTGTGCTTTTTTTCATTGAATTGTCTCAATCCTGTTTGTCTCAGTGTTTTAAAGTAGAAAATGAAGAGCTTGTTTTCAATGCCTCAGAATATTAAGACAAAGAGGAAGTAGAGGAATTAATATACAAAGCTTGAAGTGGGGTTATTCTTGGATATTGATGGTCATACATTTACAATCCCTTTCTGCAAGTAAGCAATGGAAATGTCAGCTCTGCTGAAGTGGAAGCTTTGGAATATAGTTAGCAGGTCACTGTACCTTCAGGCAAGGGGAGACATGCAGTATGTCAGTTATTATGCATGATCTTAGTCCAGCATCTATATACTTGGTAGTATCTTCTCTTGAAACAGGATTGGCTTTGTTTCTTGAAATTCACAGAGCACTGTTTTGAACAACATCTGGCTTCTGCCTTGTGTTGCTGTAATTGTAAAGCAGTCTGCTTGTTGCTATTTGAGGGCCAGTTAAGTCAGCATGTGTGGTCACTGGTCTCCAGCATTCAACACCTGGGGAACAAGAAGCATGAAGTACTTTGTGGACTTGCTGACATTTGTCTGTATTGAGCATAATTACAATACCCATTAATTGCATGGCTATGCAAAATCATGAGTTAAAAGTGTGGCTCACCTTTCAAAAAAACCCTGAGTTTCTGAAGGAATATATTCTGTCCATGGAACGTGATCTATTGTCACTGGTCAAGAAGGTTTTCAGTGGCAAACCATATGTGCAGGAAATGTAAATTCTTTCACTATAGATGCAGAACTTTTTAAAAAGAGAAGGACATGGTTTTCTTGAGTAAAAGCTTTTGTTTATCTTCCCTTAAATTTACTGCATCATTTCACTGTGGTTTTCTCTAACACTATTCCTCTTAATGCACAGACTTCTCTGACAAATTAGCTATAGCAGGGCTTGGTTGGGATGAATCTGCATTTGTCTATGTTCCTATCTCCACATTCATCTGTTAGTTAACCCTCCTCTTTGACTGTGAGACTGTAGTTACCAGTGTACCTGCACTGCTGCTGAAAGGATAATAACACTATGCCTTCTTCCCTCTCATAGCTACTGGTTTTACAGTGGTCAACTAGGGCCAAGGCTAGTTTTCTTTCTGAAAAGTTTCAGTATTTTAAGTGTGAGGTAAGTGGGTTTGAAGAAAGAGGTAATGGGAATCAGGGGTCAGACCAGCTTCTGATACACTACAGATTTGGATGTAGGCAGCCTGGCAGGCAAGAATGAGGACATTGATCTTCAATGGAAGCCTTTAGAAACTCCAATCTCAGTGACCAATGTTTGTTACAATGCTGGGACATAACCTGGGCTTTCCATTTTCAGCTTTGCCTTCATGTAGATGGGTAACTGAAGGAGCTGTGCCCCTGTTCTAGCTGTGTTCAGTTCATCATGATATGCAGAAGCCCTTTAACATCCTTGCCTGACAGCATTTTATAATTGAAAGCATTAAAATCTATCTTATTATACTGAACTTGCATGATAAAAGAATCCTTTTCTCCCTTTTTTTCCCTCTCTGAAATGCATTTTGGGAGATGCTACATGATGCTTTCTCTACGATGAATACTGAAGTGATGGTAACAACTGTGGCAGGAGTGCCCTGCTCTTTGTGGGATTCTTCTGTGGGTTGAATATAAAGTCTGTAGAGTATGTTTGCATTGTTACTGATATAATTTTTATCTGAGAGAGTTTGGAACTTTAGCTCTATTAAGAAGGGCAATCTGAAATAAACCTTCTGAGTGAAATAAGCACTTCAGGTGGCTCAGTATTGTTTCCTGCAAAGCCTAGGGCCTTTCCCACAGCAATATAGAAACATTCAAGAACTGTTATTATTTTCTGAAGGTGTAAAGAACAACTATACCAGGAAAACCCTTTGAACTTTGTGCCCTTAATAAATCTATAGTAAACTAGACAGTATTATCTGGCAAGGGAAACCTGTATTTGAATGTGATAACCTGGTCCAAAGTGGCCTTCCTCCGCCCACCTAACATAGCATATCTCTGCATAGCCAAAGAAACTTTTGTCATATCAAAGCATATCTGAAGAGTCTTTTGTCCATCTTTCTTCTTTTTGACTCTTTGCTGTTTCCTCTCTGAATCCTTAGCGTGGAGGAGTGACAGCAGCATTGATGGCTTAAGAAAAGGAATTACCGCAATAGAGAATGAGACGTTTCCTTCCACGTCTAGAGCTGAAGAATAAAAATGAAATCACCCGAGATATGTTTACTGTGTTGGGGACTAATAACAGATGGCAGTTACTTCATGAATTTCTCAGCTTGATTGCTTTTATAAATATACCTCTCTGAGTAAGAAAATGGAAGGCTGTAGTAAAACTGTTCAGTGGGCCTGGATCTCTGTGGACTACATTAAAAATGTCTTAAAAAAGCCCAGTTAAATCTTTTGAGAAGATTGATGGAATTCAGTTGAAGATAAGGAATCGAACCTCCCTTTATCCTTTGTTAAAGGGGATACCAGTGGAGCTCTGCCTGCAAGCTACTAGTCCTTCAGTATGTTCATATTTGAGAGGTCTTTAGTCAGATTTCATGTCCCAGGGAAATTTTGCATTAAGTCAGTGTCCAAACCTTAGTTTGATGTCAGTGGGAATTTTAATGTGTATTTAAAGGTAGAATGTCCTTTCATTGTGATGGCCTTGAGACAAAATCCGTATACACAGGGCTTCAGTTGTCACAGTACACAAAATGAAGAGCATGGTCACTTGTGGCATGGGGTTTGGCTGAAGTGCTATGTACATCCTTAGCTGGTTTGTTACCAGTAGTCTTAGCAAGTCTCTACTGCCTACAGTGTGTGGAAAACAGACCAGTCTTGCTGGGGCAGTAAAAAGTGATTGCCTCTCACGCTGTGCTTAAACTAGAGGGCTGCAGTGTTTGAAAATTATGTCTTAGCACGCTCAAGTATTGAAGCCGCTCAGTTGTACCTTTCTCTTAGTCATTTTGCTGTTTGGTCTACGGAAGTTGCCTGCTGTGAAAGGCTGTTATAAAATATGAGAAATGAGGTTATGGATTCATGATACTTGGTACTAGTTCATCATTATTTTCTGAGGGTCTTTTCATATAAAAACATGGGATTGTGACATTTCAGTTTCTGCCACATAAACATACTAGGACAGAGTGTTTGTTGCAAATAACTTCTCTAAATTACTTCTGGCCTTGCTCATGCTGAGATCTGTTCTCCCTTTATGTCAGATTAGTAGTGGCTGTTGCATTTTTATCCTTGTACCTGACAAAGCCTTTTCTCAGCCGAGACAGCATTCATGCTAAGGTTTTTCCTTTCACCTTGTACTCTGGCAGGTTCAATTCTGGCCCATATACAAAAGCGGAAGCATTTCAATGAACGAGAAGCTAGCAAGGTGGTGAGAGATATTGCTTCTGCTCTGGATTTTCTTCATACAAAAGGTAAGAGAAAGCTGCCTCCATCTTTACTAGTTGATATTGTACATTTAGGTTATGGAACACATTTTATCTCTAAGTAGTCAGCCTTGATTAGCATTTCTATTTACAGCAATGCCAGATGACTTATGCTGTTTTCCTCTCTTGTGCTGTTTTCCTCTCTAGTACTGTTTTCATTATGTGTTAGTTTAAGTCATCAGCTGCATTAAGATGGTATAGACTTTCGAAGAAGAAAGGTTAAACTGGCATCCAGGGAGAATTAATATTAGGGTTGAATCTGTTTGCTTGTTCTTGTTACCTAAGCTACCATACAAAGGTTACTCGAAAGGGAGCTAAATACTCTTTTTAATGTCCTTCTCAGTCACGTCTACCGAGATGTTTATCTGTATTTACCCAGAATTTCTGCTGGTTACAAGATGTCTTTGTCTGTAGTAGCTTTTGGTGTCCACGTTTGGACTCCCACTGTTGGGTTGGGAAACCTGCAAGTGAACCATAGTCCTTGTTTGAAGATGCCCTCATTTCATTTGGGACTTGCTGAGATTTAAAAGCAGTTCTGTTTGTAGAGAGTTCTATGTTAAAATGTTTTCCTCCTGCTTTTTCTACTTGAGAGTACTTTTGTTTCATTTCAAAATTTCTGTGTGCATTATGGTCACCCCAGAGTATATATTCATGTTGAATATGATCCCTGTAAAATCTTTCCTATGTCATAACTATCTGGTCTTGAATAGATTAATCAGCTCCAGTTAATGTGACAGTGACTACCTCTGAATAGAATGACATTTAATTGGAGGCTATTTTTATTGGTTATTTATTTTGATTAATTTTTCACTCCATTTATTTTGGCATTCTGATTAGCCAGGTAGATCTCAGCAGATCTGCGTTTGATATCTGAGTTGTTTAGTACTGGCCCCAGTTCAATAAATGTTTAACTGTAGGCTTTACTTATGTCACAGGATGGCTTACATGCTTGCATTGGAATCACAGCATTGGTACCTCTATAGGTTGAACCCATTAAAAAGTGTAGCAATGCATAGGGAATAAAGTGGTAAACCTGTGGAATATGGATCAAGTCACATGTTGTGACCATGTTAGAAGTTGATTTGGATGTGGAAACAAACTTAGTTGGGATTAAGATTTTTTTTTTGTAAGCTTCATAGCCTGTCTGTGCGATAACTCAAACCTGTAGAGAATGTATGCTTTGAATACCTGAATTTAGAAGATTTTGACTTTGAGATACGAGGCAAATGAGGAACAGAAAGCTTAGGCTGAACATGTAGAGAAATACTTATTTGATGTGTTAATACTCTAGTAGGTTGCTTAACAGCCAAAAGTCTAGGAACACTATTCAAGGGAGTTTAACATTGACTTGGTTAATATCTTCCTGTAGTTCTCTCTCAGCTTTTATTTTTAATTCCCCTTTTCCCAAACAAGAGCAGAGTGAGTCATTAAAATGGCTTTAGAGCAGCAATCCACTTTCTTGTTGTTTGCTGTGAATTGATTCAGTGGGGCCATGGCTTGCAGAATCGGTTACAACATCCCCTTCCATTTTATTGTTCTCTTTATGGTTCTTCCGTGTGACATTAAAATAATTAGTAAGTAGCATACAGAACACTAAAGTAAACAGGAAATTAAAGCAGTTTTATTGCACAGCTTAATAGTGAAATGCTGTAGCTAGATGCTTAAGAAAAAAAATTGAATGAGGACAACTAATTCTTTTGCCAAGAGTAGTTTAAAACTCAGCTGGATGATAATACTGCCTTACACCCACTTGGGATATCTGTGCTTTATTGCTGATAATCCACTGGAGGAGTGTTTGAAGGCAGTTGTCTTCTTCACTCAGTGCTGTGTGCAACTGCAAAATAGAATGTTATACAATCAGACATTTGAATTTAAACAGTAATACAAAAAACTGCTGTTGGGTTTCACATGGCAAACCAAGCCAACTGCTGGGAGTTTCGTCAGCCTTGCTGTAAATGTAAGCACAGGCCATCTTGATGGATTCATTATGCCATCTTCCATGCGCAAGCAGTGTAAACTGCATCATTATGGAAGCTCTGATTTCTTCAGATTGATGCTATGCTCTGCTGTTAATGTTGTATTTTAAATCACGTGCTGAAGAAAAGACATTAGAAACTTCCGTACCTAGGATTTGGTGGGGTATTTTCTTTTTCATACTCTGAAGTAGTATCATAGAATCATAGAATGGTTTGGGTTGGAAAGGGCCTTAAGATCATCTAGTTCCAACCCCCCTGCCATGAGCAGGGACACCACACACTAAACTATGTTGCCCAAGGCTCTGTCCAGCCTGGCCTTGAACACCTCCAGGGTTGGAGCATTCACAACTTCCTTGGGGAACCCATTCCAGTGCCTCAGCACCCTCACTGTGAAGAACTTCTTCCTTATATCTAACCTAAAGTTCCCCTGTTTAAGTTTAAACCCATTATCCCTTGTCCTACCACTAGAGTCCCTAATGAAGAGTCCCTCCCCAGCATCCTTATAGGCCCCCTTCAGATGGTGGAAGGCTGCTATAAGGTCTCCACACAGCCTTCTCTTCTCCAGGCTGAACAGCCCCAACTTTCTCAGCCTGTCTTCATACGGGAGGTGCTCCAGTCCTCTTATCATCCTCGTGGCCCTCCTCTGGACTTGCTCCAACAGCTCCATGTCCTTTTTATGTTGAGGACACCAGAACTGGACACAATACTCCAAGTGAGGTCTCAAGTGTGCTTGGAGTGTAATTTTTTAAGCAAGGCTAGAATGCAGTGAAGTTACAGCCAAGATGCTCATTCAGTTTGATTTCTTTGCTTCCAATTTTCTGCCTTCCCATTAAGTTTGATCAAAAATCTAGAACTTCTGGAAATTGGGTGTTTAGGCATTTGAAGAAGTGCTTTGACAATGCAGAACCACCTTTGCATGTGAATTGCACAGATTTGTGCTTCCCTGTTGGATTTGCCTGTTCTGATAGCAGTTGAATGAAAGAAAAAGCCCTTTGGTTGTTCTTCTTTAGCTTTTTTCCTGCGTCTCCAACTAAACCCTCTAAACTTTCCTTTGCTTCAAAAGTGAGTATGTACGTCCTTGTTAAAGGGAGGATATTTTCAGCTGGGAATTCAGAGGTCTTATTGGGGAGAGTGTCTCAAATATTGTCTGTGCTAGCAGGACTTCAGCAAAACACCAGTTGATCCATTTGGAAAGAAGGACCTTACTGTAGAAGGCACAAAAGTATTTTGAATTAACTGTGTACACAAGTAAACTTTCCTACAGGTCAATCATCTTAGTAAGCTGCTTTTAATTAACATAAGTAAGTAGGGCTAAGCCAAAATGTTCCAGTATTAGCAATTTCAGTTATTTGCTTGGCTGACTCTCCTGTCCATTTAAGGATGATAAAGGTACAGTGACTTTTAACAAATACACTTTGCAATTAAATTATTTGCAGTATCATTAAGGGGGTGTGTGTGTATGTAGCAAACTCAGGCCTAGAATATTTCTCAGGACTCCTAATAAAGAGAAACAATGAGAAATGAAACAGGAGAGTATCTTCTCTAACAAACATTTGTATTCTTGTCTAGGTATTGCTCACAGGGACCTGAAGCCTGAAAACATCCTGTGTGAATCTCCAGAAAAGGTGCTGCTCTGCTTTCTTAACCTTCTGAAGTGTATTTTTTAGCTTGGTTTCCAGAAACAGACTCTATTTCTTCTTCTCTTCTTGAAACTCTTTGAACCTATTAGTGAACTTCAGCTAAATGTAACAGAACTGAAGCCTGAAAGAGACTGAATTCTTCTTTGAGCTGCAAAAATGTGAGCATCTGGCTAGGAGATAAGCCAACTGTTCTTAGAGAGGGCATGGTAATTACAGCTTAACACCTCATCTGTTCTGAGGCAGTAGTACCCAGATGGACAAGCAACATTTACAGAGCAGCTGGTCATGTTATGTGTGCCTTAACTGCCCCAATGTGTACTGGCACTTGCCTGGCCACATAAAAACCCATGCAACAGGGTCACATGCTGGTGATGTGGGAGCAACTGGGGCAGAGGGGGCAAAGGCAAGGAACGGAATATAACTGTAAGAGATAGTTTCACTAGTGCTGCTGGTAGAATAACTTGTGCTCTGTCCTGGGGTTTTCCACATAGTGCTGTGTTCATATATATTGCATTAATCCCAGTCTTCTGGATCTCTTACTGTTTTGTCCTTATTTTTAGGTATCCCCAGTAAAAATATGTGACTTTGATCTTGGTAGTGGGGTGAAGCTGAACAGTGCATGTACTCCAATAACTACTCCTGAATTGACAACACCGGTAAGAGACCTACTGTGGCTTCATGCTTTTTCTCATCTACCATAGAACAAAGCTGCTTCTCCCCAGAGGAGAGCTTCCAAAGGGCTTACTGCCAACTACATCCAGTGGTGGTTAGTTTGTTTAAAGTGATAAATAGTGTCTTGATTTCCCAGTCATAGAAGAAGTAAACAAAAGCACATGAGCTCACCGTGTTAATTCTCCTGTTGACTAGAAAGTAACACATTGATCCTGTTCATCTCTTACTCCACTAAATGAGGAAGGTTTAGTGGAGGTTTTTTGTGTGCTTATGGACTGAGTTTGAACCTTAGTTTTGTGTTCATTTCCTTATGTTTGGTTTCTGTAGCTAAGACCTATGAGCTAAGAGGAATGCAAGCTCTGTAATGAGGGTTTATAATACGCATTAGTTTGAAAAACTGCAGTGCTATGCTTTTGGCATTACTGTGAAAGAAAAATCTGTCAGTTTTGCAAGCGTATGTTGCAGAAATCACCTCCCTTGTTTACTTTCTGAAAAGCCTGATAACTAATGGGTAAGATAAGCTGAAATACTTAAATTAATATTTGGACCCTGTATAAATGATCATAGATTCATATTGAATGATCAGCTTACAATTCTGCTAAAGAACAGTAGGAACTATTACGTCTCTATAAGGTCTCTGTAGTCCTTACACCTGAAATGTGTTAATTTTTTCCTGAGCTGTATGCTCACAAAATGTTTCAAAGCTCTTGGCAATTCCATTTAACCTTTGAGGGATGCAGGGAGCAGTTGTAATTTGGTTTAACAAAATGAGACTTGCAGTGAAAGCCAGCAGTAAACTTCAGTAGTCCCTGATGCCTTATTCTGCTTTTAGACCAAGCTGCCTGCTATAAAGAGAGGAGAATGATAAACCTGAGTTTTGTTTTGATTTGACCCACCCTTTGAAAACTTGCTTGAATTTGGTTTCCTAGTGTGGGTCTGCAGAATACATGGCACCCGAAGTGGTTGAAGTCTTCATGGAGGAGGCCACGTTCTATGATAAGCGATGTGATCTTTGGAGCCTGGGAGTGATTCTGTACATCATGCTCAGTGGTTACCCCCCTTTTGTGGGCAACTGTGGCACGGACTGTGGCTGGGACAGAGGAGAAGTCTGTAGAGTTTGTCAGGTGAATGCACATACCCTGGGCGTATGTGGGAGAGTGTAGTTTGCCTTGTGAACTTAGGGTATAAGACTTGCTATAATGCCAGCAGTGAAGAGCTGTGACTGTAACCCAACCTGTTATTCGGGAGGATAAGATGCCACTAAGAAGTGAGGGTGGTAATACATAAGTTGAGTGATGATATAGCCCTTTCTAAAGTAAGGTTTGGCAGCTGCCTCTTTTTCCTCCTGATGTGAGATCTCGGAGCTTCTCCATGTCCTCTCCCCCACCCCACTATCCCTCATGTAGTCTGTAATTCTCAGTCTGGTTTATGGTAGTCACTACAATTCCTCATATAAAAATTGAGCCCCAGGAGAGTCTCCATGCAGGGCCTGAATTTATTCTTTCTAAAACCTGAGTACTCTGTCTGCACTGTTACAAGGGCGTTGGGAGATGTTTTCAGCAGACAGTGTATCATGTCCATCACAGCATGCACTGAAGCACTCTGTTGGAGCTGCCGTTCATTCTCCATTGACTCCATAAGGAGACTGGCTGGCTCAGTTGTCACCCACCACATTAGGTGGATATAATTTAGTGAGAGGAATCCCACCTGAGAATTCTTCTGTTGCACTCTATTTTCCTTTACTAGAACAAGCTTTTTGAGAGTATTCAGGAGGGCAAGTATGAATTTCCTGACAAGGACTGGTCGCATATATCCTCTGAGGCCAAAGATCTCATCTCAAAGTTGCTGGTTCGTGATGCCAAAGAACGACTTAGTGCTGCTCAAGTTTTGCAACATTCATGGGTTCAAGGAGTATGTATCTCCCTTTTTTTATATATA